TTTGTAATTTTGCATGTATTTGATTCATAGTTTCAAAATTTTAATAATACTTTCAACATTAGAAAAGGCTGTGTTTTGTTTTACTTTTAAAGTTTAACGCGGGCAAAGTCACGAACAACAGCTAGTTAATAGATTTGATGAGATAATCGGTATGAATATTGTACAATATGACATATAAAAACAAGGTATTACACTGAAGAGTTAGTAACACTTTCTTTCACAATGAGTGCATAGTTGCCAAGCAACAAGTGGCTGCATGTTTGAATAAATTATTGAAATTACTTAATGAACTTTAATCCGGTTTTCATCAGGTTTCATAAATTCAATAAATAAAAAGTTGTATCGACTGTGACTTTGTAAAGTTGGAAAAAGATAGTAATTCAAATACTTATCTTTTCTAGTTGTTGTTTTGTTAACATCTCACTGATCTGGTAAATAGTTATTTTACGTCGGTAAGCGTCAAGTCTGATGTTCAACATATTTATTTTAGCAAGCAGCAGCTAGCAATAAACATTTAATTGTGAATCAATATTTAATAATTTACGTCATCGTCAAACACAAGGAGCGTCAATGTAATCCCCACTTGTGTTACTCGAGCTCGAGCGCGACTTCTTTTATTTACGAGCCGAGAGCGGCCATTGATAAATCTCGTTTGATGCGAAATAAATGCCGAGACGTATTCTAGGAGCGAACGCACGGCGGCTACACCCACAGTTCCGCTCAGAATTTATGTCGAAACCGACATTCACCGCGGAGAACATTCGCAGCAAATAACCGGGGCGTTAAAACAACTAGCAAAACTGGCGCACTTAACAAACAGACGTATCCGTATCAGATATAGCATATCGCGACGCCGAGACATTACTTCTGCTCTATCGATAAAGCTCAGCTGTAAGTGGAATAGTTTCGCGGGGCGGTAAACATAAATAATTGTCATAAAGGCGATAGGGTCTGATGGATGACCGCCGCGGCCGAGCCCGCGCTAACGAGGAGTCGGGCAAAAAGCTCGGCTGGAGGGAAGCGTGTGCACTGATCATCTCCTGCATAACAATATTACTTAACATGCTACGTGCGGTGGTCGAGGAACAGATGATGCGAGCAAATATAACGCGTTCCGCTACTTACTGCCACGCACTACTTGTAACGCTCCATGCTCGTATGCGTAACAGATAATGTTTTAAGTTTATTCAATTTGATAATGTAACATACCGGTTAGGGTAATTTTAATGCCATTCATCTGTGAATTAGGAGTTTTTTGCGTTGAAAACATCTTTTTACACGAAATAATTTTCACAGTGTAGTTGTATGGTAAGATATATTTTTAAGCTAGTCTAGTTTATTTATAACTGTGTAAATTGTGAACGAAGATTTATTCTTCTTTTACTTCTTTTTTAACAAATTACAAAGTTTTAAATTATTACGAGGTTATTTCTTCGATTTCCCATACATGTGGTTTTAATTGGAGACATGTTTCAAGTACTTACCCAGAATATATTTATTTCATAAGATAAATGAAGGCCACTTGAGGGCCAGTTGCTGCATTAAAAAAATACCCCAAATACGTGAAGTGAGCAAAATTAGCTCTATAAAGATTTACTTGGTGCAATTTAAAAAGTTGTAAGACGACTTCTTGACTTTCTTATAGGTACATTTCTTAAGTATTCTTAGCGACACCAAAGAGAAATTGCGCCGCGAACAGAAACAAAGTGGGTACAAGCGCGGCCACGAGTTTTAATTAGAACATTTATCTGGAATGAGATCAATAACTGCCTTCGTGTGAAACGAAATGATCATTTCCTTTATATCTGCCTGTACGCTTTATGAATATTAAATGAAATATAATTGATCACGTATCTGGGCGAAGTTATTTCTTTTTAAATAATTTTCCAGGCCTTACTGTCGTTTTTTTTTTTTACATTTTATTATCATCGCCGACATTATTTTAATTAAACTGACAGTATTTTATAGCGGATATTACTTTACATTTTCTGTTAAATAGAATTTCCAATAGATAACAACTAATGTTAAGATAACAACTGTTTATTAGCGTCTAATGACCCAGAAGAAGTTGTCTACACATTATTTGTCAGATGTCGATAAGCTTATGTAGTCGGTCACATTTTTGTGTTTCAGAATCAACATCGTTAAATTGATACTTTATTAGATCATATTTTAAACGGTTCAGATGTTCTAAACAGAAGTCGCGTTATCTCCCTCTGTCAATGTCAGGAAGTTTTTGTTATCAGAAACATATTTACACTCACTCCTGATTAACGATACGTCTCGAGATGTCTCGCGTAAGCCGAAGATAACAATCGACTTGTGTATTATGCATGAAATATGCAACTTGTGGTTATTTATTCAAATAGAGTGATGAAATGAAGGCGGCTGTGCGGCTGTGCGGCGAGCGCAGCACAGCGTCGAGCCGCGCGCCTCACACACGCGGAGAGAAAGCGTGTTTAATCAGATAACTAAGATTGTCAACCGAGTCCGGGCTCCTGAAATCGGGTCGAATGTCGATACACTCGATTAATTAATTGACGGTCCGAAAAGTTGGAGGTAACTGGTTCGAGAACGCAAAACTCTTGCGAAACATACAGCTACTTCCACGTACTGAACATACTATGTTATATGCAATTAATTGTAATTGTCTGTATACGAATTTGTTTACGTTACATCCTCCTGCATGTGTCCGAAGTAACTATTAACTTTTGAAACGCTGATTGAGTTTATTTAATAACATTTAAATGATTAAGTTGTCCAAATACGAGTAATAAAGTTCTAAATTCCGAAAAGGCTTTTTTCACTTTTAAAGCAATTTAATCTAAATTATTATATTTCGCAAGATCTTACAACCTAACAAAAGATGACTTCTAGCCTATCAAAGGAAACCGGACATATACAATTTATGAATTGAATAAAATATCAATTAGGATAAATACATACATACATACATTTAAGGAATCGATTAAATAAATAAATCGATGACACATCGTTGAACACCACCAAAACATTTGACGGCAGTCGGAAACATTAGTTTGACCATCAAGGATACGACCGACCTTTACAATGTCTAATTAATTAACTTATATGAATATTGTTATATTTGCTGTTTGTTAACCAATGGACGTGTACGATACGTCTAATGAGAATGGGGACTGTTAGTTGTAAGAAAATGTAACACGGCTATTATCAGGGTCCGTTAGTCAATCAAATCAAATTTATTATTTTAAACACCTATCATTATCGCCACAATAATAGTCGGCACTGATAACATTTCAATAAGTAATAAACTAAACGAGAAACATTAATTCGATAAAACTGAGACTTGTCTATGACACGTTGCGTAATTCAGTCATTTAAGCCCCAGTTATAATTCCGTGTCTCTGTCAAACAACAATAGCGACATTGTTCGGTGCCAATTGTTACTATAAAATAGGTATTAAGTTACGTAAACTATTACAACTAGACGGAGTTAGACCTTAAATTACCCGGTAGACCTCATGAATCATTAATATCAACAGCCAAATTGTACTACGGCTTAGTAGCTGAATTAGATATAACAAATACCGACATAAATAAATGAGTGCCATAAAAATGTCAAAAACTAATAAACCTCGTTTTGGTGGCATATGACTACAGATAAGATATGACCTACCATCTAATGCTTGTTTACAGTTACGCATGCATTATGTATTTACCTATGAATTTGGGGAATTCTAATAAAGCAGAAAATGCTTATATTTAGTAACGGCGACTATGTGAAGTAGAGGCGGACTGCACCGTTACAATTTTATACGCGAGCTATCTATTAGTATGCATGATTCCGTTCAGTTTACGCCCGATGTCCGGAGAAAGCCGCCGTCCCGTTTATAGAAGAGCGAGGCTATTCGCCGACGCGAATTACTCATAAATACGTCGATTCACAATAAAACATTGTTTTTATTGCGCGTCGCCAATACCGTAACCGAGGTCCTTGCCGTATTTAATTGCGATCCGCGCGCGATAACATCGCCGTTATGGTATCGAGCGTTTTATCTTCGTAGACTTTAAGCTCTCCGAGAATACACGATGCGTAGGAACAAGTTACGAAAACTTCTTAATACAATGCAACTACAATTATTCTTAAAAAACTAATTTATTCATGGCATGTCGTGGTACGTGACCGCACGCACCGAAATTGGAAATGAAAAAGACATAAAATTCGAAACTTATCCGATATCTTAATAAAACAAAACGACTTGGATCACGTGACTGTTAAGTAAAAAGTAAATACTGCTGGACTGTAAATATGTAAACGCTATTTAAATTTAAATAAATAATAAAATGAAAGAAAATGTAGACAGTCTGTACTGCAATACTGTACTGTACTATTTTTGTATTATCTTCAAATTATAAAGATACGAGTACTTTAAAAGAATGGGTTTCAAAGGTCGATCGGGCGCGGCCGGGCGCACTCGCCTCGACGATCGACGATCGGCGATCCATCAATCAGAGGCGACGATCGGTGCTTTCTCGTCGTTAGCCCTATATGGCCCGGTCTGGCACCACGCCTGGCGCAACTCACTTCTTTTTCACTTCATTTTCTAACCCGTTCATAGAAATCGTCTAGCGACATATTTCACTTACACAACGTGACGGAAATGAGCGGCCGCACGTCCGACTATTGTGAAGGGCATTCAAATGAAATTTGGAATTAAGATGCCCATCTTGAAGATGTAATCGTATTCGTTTAACTTAATAACTGAGAAATGCTGCAGGTAATCGCGGCCAGTTTGTTCGCGAAATGCTCACGGCATCGCTCGCCTTTGCTTATGTCATTAAAGCTGGCGATAAATTAAATGGAGCCATACCTTTATATAGGCGTTTCTAATGAGTATTATCGCGATGGTGTACATTTATACGGTTTATTTATATTTAATATCTTGCGATGCACACAACTTGTACGATTTATAGGTAATCTTGTTAATGTAATTAGCTAATATTGTATTTTGTTTCAGAGCGTGGTAATGCTGATGTTCAGAGAAGAGAAGTCCCCCGAAGACGAGATCAAAGCGTGGCAGTTTTGGCACGGCAGGCAGCATTCAGTGAAACAACGAATACTTGACGCCGGTGAGTGGAAACGATCAATTGACGATGTTTTTTTTTACAAAATAAACGCCATGTTGCGTGCCGAGTCATAATTATAATACAAATTAGTAATTTAAAATCACAATGACTCCTTACATTTTCCGCGAGCGTACGACTGGCGGACGGTAGCTCATACGGAGACCGAGACACGATATTTACCGCACAAAAACATGATCGGTCGTGCTCGAGGCGACACAGAAACATGGCGGTGAAGATTTGCGTGCGGAGAGGGCCAGGGCGAGGGCGAGGGCGGCGCACGCAGCACCTAATTACCGTGCTGCAGGCAGAGGAGACACGCCGCGCGCCCCGTTGCCCACCATTATGTGTCGTTAGGACATTTGCATAAATAACGCGCATCGTCCGCTGCCCACACTGCCCGGCGAACCTATCAATCGGCCCGTCTAAAAATAAACATTGTGGCGCCGCCGCCTAGCCTCATCCCTACCCGCCGCCCGCCGCCCGTCGCTCGCCGCCTGGCACTGCCGCCTCATGTTACCTACGCTCGTAATGACACATTCCGTCTCAACTAAATTAGTTATATAAAACAGAATGTTACGTTTCCACGAGGCGAGGTTAAGTAAAACGATATAATAAAGATATCCGACACGAGCTCTATGAACGCGACGGCCGACTAACAGGAAATCATAAAAATTCGTGAGAAACTTCCATCTCGGAGAAGCAGTAAACACCTGCCCCGTATCAACGCATCCATTTTGTTAAGTCCCTATATAAACACAGTCGATAGCTTGATCGCATGATATAGTCACTTGTCTAAAATGAACGTTGAAAATATAAGCAAGCATACGATATAGTCGCAAGCGGACATAATTACCGCGATGATATCGGGGAGCCGTTCATTAGCATGTTAATTGCGCGATGAGCCCCCGCCCGCGTCCCCACCCCACCCCGCCCTGGCCCGCGTCCGCGCCTCGCACCTCCGCCGACCTGCGAGAGTTATCGTCGCTGATAATGGTGCTGCCGTGACGTTCTCAAGCGTTTCGATAGCCGTCGAACAATGTTGATAAAATAAACGGCTGTTTTTATACAAATTCAATTCGATGCGTTTGAATGTAAAGACTATCTGAGTCTATTAGCACGGGTAAAATTAAATGTGAATTCGTTTTATTGCCACGCCGAAGAATCGACCGAATAGAGGATTGCGTCATCGACATCGCCGGAATGCTTGCTTATTAATCGGCCACCTCGGCGCGAGTAAACAGCGCTGATATATGACACTTTACACATTCTAACATTACTTAACTTAAGCTCGAAGCATTTGTAATGAGTGACGCTGCGGCCGCAAGCGCTGCCTATAAATTTAATCTCAAGGAAAATAAAAACATGGAAGCCATTAATTCGCGCGGCCAGGCCAAGTTTAATGTCAAGGTTTTTACCTTATCTCGATGTTAGTCAAATTTTGTGTTTTTTTACTCTGTTGGTGTTATTATACAAAATGAAATAATATCTAAGCACAACCGAATTTTGTCGGTTAAGACCATTTAAGGCAAAAACAAATGGGTTAATATAAATGTGGGTGTCAGAGAGATATGTCACTGTCCGGTTACTAACGATATTTATGTATACTGGAAACTGTACGAGAGTGTGTGTAGTGTGTAGTGTAGAGTATGTGTATTGGTTCGATTTACAACCCTTAATTTATTTAATGCTTACGTAGAGAAAATGCAAGATATTTCGTCTTTATTGTATTAACTCCTTGATGAAAATCGAACAAGTAAAAAATATGTTTTGAACGAACTTGGAAGGAGCGTCAAGGGCGACATCGGACACCTGTGCGCGGCGTGTGAGAGGCTGGGGGGAGTTGGGGGAGACAGGGCTCACCGCGGCAACGAGGGGCTGCAACGCACCGCGCGCCAGCACAATACCTTCTCCGGTTACCTGCATGTCTTGTTGTTGCGTTGCGTGTCCACTGCCCGTTGCAGCATCGCTTCTTCACTTCCACTGTTATGCCTTTAGACAGTTTTGCTCGTCCCACGCTCGGCTGAGCCGACACGACGCAGCCGCTGTTCCCTTTTAAAACAAACACCAACACTGCGAGGAAATTTACGCCGCCGCCAAAATGAGATAGCGTTACGCTCAATAATATACCTGTACTATATAAACTTTATACTCGTAATTAACATGAAGTAAATTATGCGAATACTTTAAGAATAAATAATTTAACGTATTACACAATATACTTAGCTTACTTCGCGTTATAAGGTTGATATTACTATAGATTGAAACAAATTTAAATTATTTCGTTACCTAGTTCCATAATGAAAAACATATTTTCTTGTATACGTTCTTTATTCCTACTTCTCTTAACTTACTTCTTTTATTAGATGTTTGTAATTTCTACAGAGGTTTTGCTATTTATGTCCCACTGCAGGTGACAGGCGAAAGTAAGACCTTTACGATTACATTTGCACTTAATAAACTTATATATATTTGCATTGAGACAGCATCCCGCGTACACCGGATGCCGTGACCCAGCGGGTTAACGTTATTAACAGACACATCTAATTATACAGGGTTCATTGAATTCAAAGTAAATAAGCCCATAAACCTACTTATATCAAGTTACATTAATATTACCTTACATACGTGTTTTCTATACTTTTTTCTTTTTTTTTTTAAATCGAAACGTACAATATGAAAATAAATGTAATGAAAATTGAAAGGTTGCCTAGAACAAGATTAGTTCAAAATTGTACTACTAAAAAGTAACAATTACAATGGAATGAGTGGGTGTTAGTTTGCGCCAAATAACAAGAACACTAGTTTGTCTCGTAAATTTGTTAAAGCCAGTCAAACAATAAGGCAAGATGAGGGCGGGCGGCGGTATACCGCGGCTCATAAACACGTCAGCGGGCGCGCGCCCGCACAGCTTGCGGCCCCGCTGATAGGGCGGCCCACGCCACCGACGCGACCGACGCGCCATCTAGCGATTACTCACTAACGACCGACATATCAACTCTCTTCCTCCGTACAGATTAAGGGTGCTTAAATCACCAATTGCTCTAATACTTCAACTTCAAAATGTTACAAATCGTTTCCAATTAAGTGCACTTAATAACATACTCTTCATCTGTGACTAATCGGTAAATAAAAGTTAGAGTATAATTTTCAGAAAATAGAAAAGTGTTTCTTGTTACTCATTTCACTTTACTTTAATTATATTTAAACGCTAAGACTATCCCTACACTAAGGTTGTATTCCCTTGGATGAGCGAATGTTGTCTTCGGTCGCGAATCTATCGATGTTATCGTGTTATTATTCACGCCTTGTAGAAATAAGTTTCCGTCGTCGATGACGTATTGTGCATTAATATCTTAATCGAAATCTCCACATGCATTGTCCACAATTATACGTTCGGACAAGATGAATGACGATGCTTTGTTTTATTGCAGACACTAAGAACAGCATCGGCCTCGCCGGCTGCATCGAGGAGGTGGCGCACAACGCCATCGCCGTCTACTGGAACCCACTCGAAAGTGCCGCCAAGGTAATAAACGTTTTACATTATTTATTTATCGTTTATAGCTTTTGCCCGCGACTCCCTCCGCGTGGATTTAAAAAAACAACAGTGAGTAGCCTATGTGTTCTTCCAGACTCTCCTCTACATCTATACAAAATTTCATCGAAATCCGTTCAGCCGTTTAGCCCATAAACTCTAATAAACATCCATCCATCCATCTAAAATTTCGCATTTAAAACATTAGTAAGAGTAATTCATTAAAAATACAATCAGTGTAATATTTTAAAAGTATCGAAATTGTTACATCCTTGTTACTTTGGAAAATTTTAATTTTACATTACTATAAAAACATAAAAACTCTCAAGACCGTAAGATATTAACATAAAACTATTCACATGATACGCATTGGTAATATTCAACGTACCGAGTGGAACCATAATTTAGTAGAAATAAGCGTCGTAAAGAAGTAGCCGCAAATAAACATTAAATTACCTCTGCTATGAATAAATATGCACATATATTAAGGACATATTGTAAGTAAGCAACGGTCATCTTTTTTAAGAAATTAAAATGTGGATCATGATTTTATTGCGCTAATTAAGGATCAATTTAATTGAAACTTGTCTCCATATTGGGTGGAATAGCTTTGTGCGCGCCACAAAAAATGATTACTGCACAACATATAAAGAATCCCATAGCACGCAGAGAGCGCACTGCATCGCAAGACATTATTATTATAATTAAACTAGCATTATCGTTTTTACACAAGTTTTGCTCTCTTTCTTAATTCTTGGGAAAATTTATGTTAGCAAAAAATAAGATCTTAACATTACAAAAATGAATTCCTTTAATTAATGTAAATATTACTGGATATGAAATGTCGATAAAATAAAACTTTATTATTTATTTCGTATTGAAGCAGCGCGGTATTCTAATTAACCTTTTTATGCCGGCGTCGCTTATTAACGTTGATTTCCTCGCTACCATGTAGAGTGTAGAGGCTGTAGTTTCTATAATATAGCAACGGGGAAGCACAAAGACAGTTTTATGCATATATAAATCTCCTTCAAAGAAAAAGCAAAAACAACGTGAAAGACCATTGCGGGAGTATCCACGTTACCGACACAACGCGACGCTGACTTAAGTCGTTAAGCATTTAATTACATGTGTACGTTATCATTAGAATTCAATAGCTACATTGCAGCTAAGACTAAAAACAATAAAGCGGAAATTGAACGATCGTTTTAGTACTGTGAGAAACTAACGAAGCTGCTACTGGTCGATGTTAATATCGTAATGCGTTATTTTTGCATTGGATCGATAAGTATCATCGGTAATTATTAATTATTACACGAAAGCATGGCGGATGCGAGCTGTTTGCGAGCATAAGTATGCGTTGTGACAGTGATCGGTGGCGGTGGCTGCGTCGAGTAAAAACGCAAGGGGGGTCATTTGCATAGAGCGCGGTAATGAGTGGCGCGGCGCGGCCACGCCGCAAGTGGCAGTCGCCACTCCGCTCGGCTACTGCATAAAAACCATCCTACACTGTAATACAGGGAACTTCAATGAGTTTCATTAAAACCATCCTGGTTGTTAAACCTTTTTGTATCGCCGGAAGAATTCATCACGAGACAGTACGATGCTCGGAGAAACACTATCAGTTCTATGTATCAACATACTGTTTATAGTTTAAATAACTACTTATATATTATCCTTTTAAACAGTAATGGGCGGATTAGATGTTATTCCGCGTTATGTTTCTCATGTAAGTTACTATTGTTTTCAGATCAACATTGCAGTGCAGTGTCTTAGTACGGACTTCAGCAGTCAAAAGGGCGTCAAGGTTAGTAAATACGAGTAGAATTACTAATAAATTATTCAAATATTTTATTGGGCACACAGAAATTCATTGTCTTATTCCACTGAACTGTGCTACTTAAAGTTATGTACCAACTAGTCTCTAATTGCAAAAACGTATAGGCAATGTATTTTTTTAGCGAGAAATATTAATTGAACTGATAGTATGTAAATTAAAGTTACGATGAGACTCTGTCGATCAAGAGGTCGGTAACCGTGCTGTCGGCGGCGACGCCTCGATAAGCGTAGCGCGACATTATACATAGGGTGAGTCTATACTGCACCACAAGCGCTAGCGGGAGCAAGCAATCTCTTCACAAACCGCCTGCTACCCGCTCGCGCCTGCACCACACCCGGTGACGCCGCACGGCCTCGAACTGACGCAATTAAGACGTTTTAACGCGATTCGATTCAGACACGTGCATATTTTTCCTTATTCGTAAATTTATCGCAATTATCCCTTGTGAACGTTTATTAAAAAAACTATTTTTGTTAGAATACTAAGATAACCGAAGATATCAAGCGTGAAATCGCTTTAGTCAAAATAATTTGTTTGAGTGGTTCTCTAATTGTTTATGGTGACCGATAAATGTAAGACGATTCGAGAAAGGTGTGCCAGTAAAACTCTGCGAGACCGACATACGTGTAACTGTTGTTTGAGTTATATTCTAGTAAATTGAGGAATATTTAAAATTTATGTTTTTGCAGGGCCTTCCACTTCACATTCAAATCGACACCTTTGAAGATCCGAGAGACACACAAGTTTACCACAGAGGATACTGTCAGATAAAAGTGTTTTGTGATAAGGTAAGGTGATAAAAATATTCTCTTCAATGATTATTTGCTCTTGCACCAGTTTTCTATTTTTATTTCAATGTTTCGTTTTAACTGTTGAAGGGCGCTGAAAGAAAAACAAGAGACGAGGAGAGAAGAGCGGCAAAAAGAAAATTGTCAGCCACAAATAGGAAAAAGCTCGATGAAATATATCACCCTGTGACAGAACGTAGCGAGTTCTATTCTATGGCGGACCTCTCGAAACCTCCAGTGCTGTTCAGTCCGGCAGAAGATATTGATAAGTTAGCCGGAATGGATATTCAAGGTTTCTACGGCCACGACGAAGCGGCTCTAGCAGAGGCTCACCTTAAGGGAGCGTCGCCTTTCCTCCTTCACGCAGCAAAGCCGCAAGTTCCAGCCTTGAAATTCCACAATCACTTCCCACCCGATGCTCCTGCGTAAGTTGTATCAAGTATATATTATAACATTTTTTCTCAACCTATTGTAACAAAACGTCATAGAGTTATATTTTAAAATTGCTGTTGCCAATTTTTAAAGAAAGAGCTATAATTTGGAATTCCCTTTCCAGGTATCGATCAGATGTGGGTGGACTGTCTCCTTACAGCGATCGCAAGGACTCGCTGGAATTAGAGGGCGTTCTGGGCAAGCGCGCGCGCACCGGCACGCCCCCGCTCAGTGAGCGCGTCATGCTGTACGTGCGCCAGGACACCGACGACGTGTACACGCCGCTTCACGTCGCGCCGCCCACCACGCAGGGCCTGCTTCACGCCGTGAGTCCCAATGCCGCTCCTCTCTTACCGCACACGCTTGATACGTCACATTGACCAACACTTACGTATATTAAATGTGTCAAAGTAACGGATCAAGAATGCCGCCGTCCACGGCGAGCGAGAGAAATAACCATGGTGATGTTAGCTAACCGCAGAGCACGAATGAGCGAATTGGACATTTATGTCTTCTCGGTTACTCGTGATATCGATATTCGTTTATGAACGTATTTTTTCTAATGGTAAACGAAAGGAATCGAGACGCTTCGTCAGCGCCGTGGGTGCCGGGGATGCGAGCGTCCGCCGCCCGCGCCCGTCGCCTGCGGCGCCGCGTAACCGATGTGGCGCTTCATAACCCCGTCTAATACTTACGACACACGATCATCATAACTGCATGTTGTAATTAACACCCGCGCGGCCGGCCGCCGCAGTGAACCACTCGCGTGGTCCTCGCGATACTTCAAAATTGTCCTTGCAAAACCACTAGACCGGTTACTGAGCCTACGTCGTTCCGTTAGACGAGACGTCTCGGTTTAAAAACCAAAGGCCCATTGTAATTTTGTTTGTTTTCTGCTCATTTTCAGATTGAGAATAAGTACAAAATTTCAAGTTCGGCAATAAATAATCTTTATCGAAAGAACAAGAAAGGGTAAGTGGTTTTCATTGGCGTCAGACAGTTTCATGAGTACATACCGGCCGCCTCGCGTTAATAAGGCCTCGCTTGTCCTGAGGGCGCGCCACTAACTTCACAATGCTTCATTTACGAAATGTCCCTTTAATTAGATCGCTTTGTAATTGATTATACCTAAACATTAATTTAATTCCTCCATGCAAAACTGACATTTTAATAATTTTAAATGCACTTGCATTATATCCGACATTAATTATTTAAAATTTAGCATTAAAATTATAATAGAGAATATTGTGATTTTGTGTTAATTTTAAAGTATAATAACTGCAATATCATATTTTCTATAAATCTATCTTATTAACGTAAATGTCGTGTTGTATTGAATTTTAACTGAATGTGTTTTAGGATTACGGCCAAAATTGACGACGAGATGCTTGCATACTACTGCAATGAGGACCTGTTCCTGCTGGAAGTCCGGCCGGCGGGCGCCAGCGAGGACGAGCCCCTGTACGACATCACGTTCGTGGAGCTGCCACTCGACCACTAATGCCGCGTCCGCGCGCGCCCGCCGCCCGCCGCTCGCCGCCCGCCGCCGCCGCCCGCCCGCACTCGCGCCGCACGCGCTGCGCTCGTCATACACTCCTGGACGGATCCTCACGTCGCCTGCTCAATGCGCTCTCTACTAATGTTACATGTATACGTGAAATGTTTAATTATTATGTTCATCTGTGGCGGATTATGCGAAGGGTCGTCTTAACATTCCCATTTACACTCATAATTTATATGATAAGGTCTCAAAAATTGTCGATCTCAGATTGAAATTTACTATTAAGTGTTTCATTCACCATACTTTGTCTTAAATACAAACCGAATGTCACAAATTGTAGTCGATCGTCGTTAGAACGACGGGCGCTAGAGGGACCGACTTGTAAATACATATTTTAGTGCCTTATGAAATTACAAAACTTCGTGCGACGATTCGGCAATGCCAAGTAACATTTTGATAAGTCGGAACTGAAGCGAAGTGTGACAGTTTTGTTGATGTTGTTTAATCCTTATGTATGTTACATGTAAATGAGAAATGATCTGCTGCGTAGAGGAATTGTAACGTGCGTGCCATTCACTCGGTTATCATTCTAGATTGTAGTTATTGTTTCAACAGGTACCTTTTAATCTTGCCATGGTGATAAAGTAAGAAATTCTTGTCACAAACATTTTATAACATGTAGATAGTTCATCTACAGTCGATAAGGAATATAATGTGCCTTTGACGTAAAAATAATGTTATTATCTTTTATTATAAGTGAGTTAAGTCAAATTAAATGCCATCCACTTTGTTAAGTTTTATAAATAAGTTTGCTTTTATAAGCTCGCTCAATACAATCATTTAGTAAAGTTGATATTAGTTTTAAGGTCAAAAACGTTCAGAAATTCCGATTTTAAAATCATTACAATATTTAATTCGTTAATTTGGGTTCATTTTTTACAAGATCAACTTGCCAAGATTTATGGCAGTCGATAAACGGAAGCAATAAAATTTGATTTTTAATTTATGGACGAGACACAGTCGTCGACGGCCACGCCGCGCCGCACCGCGTCATCTCCGATACATTTATTCCAATAGTCAACATAGTCACAAATTTTATCTGCAACATTAACATAATAATTGTGGGGAGTGGTATGTGTACGATTTTAGAATTTATTTGATTTAATAGTTTTTATTATTTTAATATTCTTCGTTTTCATTACGTTAGTAATCGGGCCATGAGGACACTTAAGCATAAAAGAACCTGACTTGCATTTTCGTCGTGACTTATTCTTTAGACATGAATGTATATTGTTTTAAAAGTAAATTTATTAGATGATGTTCTTAGATATCTATCAATGTAAACTGAACCTATTGATCTGTAAAGGATAATATTTTTCAAATTATTGTATTATTCTAAGTGTGTATTTCCACCGATTTATTCGAAATTCAGAACCAGGTTCTGTTTTCACAAAGGGATTGGTCGCAGACAAAGTCGCCCATGATGTTGTTGAAGTGCCTAGTGCGGACGGTTCGATTAACTGCCATATTATGACATAAACTAGATTACTTACCTTAGTTATAGAACTTTAGTATAGTTTGTTACATTATGATCAATTTCTCATTCGAGTATATTATAATAAAATCTAAGATAATGCTATTGATACTTCTCATTGTAATATGTATTATTGTTTTTTTATATGTTGAGCTGCAATTGCGCTGCAGTCGGTTTTTTGCGCGCAAACAAATTGTTATCTTCCAATCAACTTATATTTTACACACTCGTTAATATATCTTCACTATTTTTAAGTAAATTGAAATCTCTCTATATGAAATATAATTGTTTTACTTTAACGCATCTCATTGCTCAAAGTCTGCATTTACGTTTCTCGTGCGAGGCGGACTCTAACATTGTTTTATATTTTACCTACTTATACGTATCGATGTAATGATATTTATTTATATGTACTTATTATAAATTGTGCAGCTTTAATGTTTACTTACAATGGTTTTAGATCGTGATTTTGAATCTCGTCATAAGTCACAAACGTCAGTAGCAATAGCGTAGAGCCGCGTAGGAGTATCGTAGAAGTTGCGTAGCGAGCGCGTCCGCGAGCAGTCGTCGGCAGGCGGCGCTTGGCCGTGTTGTGCAATGTTTAAACAGAGTTTAGTGTAGAGGAGAGGAGTATGAGAGGGAGAGGGAGAGAGCGTGGGAGAGGGAGAGGCAGCGCGCTCTGCCGGCGCGGCGCGGACTCGCCCAGCAGATAGTCACACTAGTTATGATAAACATCATGAAAATGTTTTCGCATTTTCGTTAATAAATTTTACTGTACTTAATTTTTAATCGAATAGATGTTACGTTATTCTTTTATATGATGATTATTTGTAAGTTGTCATAAAAATATTATTAATATAATTATTTTTATCAAAGTTTATAATCTAAATAAAAATGTTTTTCTTCAAAACATTCGAGGTGTTTTATTTGAAACAATACGATGTAAATACACACAGGAAAGTCCAAATAAGACGAATAAACGACAATTTTTACAATTGGCTCCCCATAAATCCCTTGTTATCCGTTGATTCTGAGCCCCTCTATCTCGTATTTCTACATACATTAAAAATAAACTTTCCAACTTCCATAATGACTTTATTTACTTATCATAATTTAACAACAATTTACCACATATGTACACCGACAAGCGATATAAGATAGTTTCGAAAGCATCACGATAACATTTACTTATCCGTAAAATATAGACATTTATAGAGTGAAGCAAATAGAACGAATGCATTATTTAATAAATACCTAAAAAAAGTACAGGAGCATACTCCAAAGGCAGAAAATTGGGAAACTACATTGAAGATCAGTCAAAATCTTATAATGACGCGTAAATACATAAAATTCTTCTGATTAAACACACTCCATAAATAACCGCTAATTATTTCTCAATCTTACTTAATCTATTGTAAAACCAAACTATCGTATCGTAAATAATGAATTTGCTAACAATGACCTAAACAGACATAAAATGTACTAATAAAACATTTAAAAAATGAATTTAAATTACCAACTATATTTAACTTAAATGTATTTGAAGATGTTTAAGTACCACAGTTAAAATAATTATAATTCCAATTTTACATCCATAAACCTGAAATAAGTAATAATCACGACATACTATGTAAATACTACTATTTTAAAATCCATAACGATTTTAATTATTTTCAAAATTATATGCTAAAGTAGAATAACGTAATCTAATTAGAAATGACATTTGTGTAACTTATCACTAGATTTCGTAAATTAAAACATACTCTGTGTTAGAGGGTTAAAATTTTTTGGTAATCGAAGCCACTTTTCCCTAATCTCTATGTCGTTTTTTTTTTAATTTTCGACCAAAAAGTACAGGAAACACTTTACTTAAAAATAATTATTTACATAAATTTTATTAGAATCCAATCATCACTAATAAGCCATATCTCAATAAAATCTTGAACTGAGCAGAGGATTTTTTACTAAAAACTAATATACGATATTACATTAAAATATGTGTTGAAAGCGACAAGCAAAATATTGATTAAAATCCTTAGCAATACAGCATAAACTTTCCTTATTGAAAATAGTGAATTATTAAAAATACAAGAATTTGGATTAGAAACTATCGATACTTATCTTTGATAGTAAATAGTAAGAGTAAACACACCAGCAATATTGTGACACACGAACACAGTGTGATTACATTATAAAGCGATTTGATTCCGTTAGAGACGGCCCTGAGGTAAAAGCATTAAAAGAGATACTGGCTCTAGGCACAAACACGGGATGCTAAAATGGCAAATGCAGAAATAGCCAAACATTATTTGAAATTACAAAGATATGTATAAAATGATTTTACTGAAATGCAGTAGGTTGACTAGAAGCCAAAACAAAATACAATCTTACACAGTCATGCTTTCAGGGTCGTCGATGGATTTAGTGGCGAGAAGCAACAGGATTGTTCACTGAACATTATATTACTATCTTGAACCGTTCCCCGTCGGAACAGTTCAGGAGTGATGGCTATTGTATGAGAGGCGAGCTCTGGCTGTCGCTGAAGTCGAGCGTGTAGTACATGTCGGCGGTGTCGAGCGGCGCGGCGGAGGGCGCGGCGTGCGGCGCGGCGGGCGGCGCGGGGCCGCGCTTCTCCTGCAGCCAGTGGTGCGGCGGCCCGCTCTCCGTGACGCGCGACAGCCGCGACAGCAGGCGCGCATATGTCTTGTTCACACGGCAGTGGCATGCTGTTACCTGCAAATAGATGAAAAAAATTAACACGATTTGTTTGACTAACTGACATAATCTACACATATAATTAAATTGGAGTGTCTGGTTGATGAAGTTGATGTATTTGCGTGGTTGATAACGAAAATCGCAATAAAAAAATTTTGTCTGTCTGTCTGTCCGCAAGCCGCGTTTGTTCCAGGCAATCTCTGAAACGGCTGGGCCGATTTCGACCGGATTTTTCACTGGAGGGTAGCTGGTAAAAAGTAGATACATTCGGAAATATTATAGAAGACAATTTTTTTTCTAAATTCCACGCTAACGAAATTTACGGGGGACAGCTCGTATTATAAATAAGGTAGAAGGAAATAGTTATAAAATGAGTACTTACGACAACTCCTACGATAGCAATGGCAGCGCCGAGCGTGCCGGCGGCGATGTAGACGTTGTGCAAGCGGTCGTGGTAGAGGCCGAGCGGCAGGCGCAGCTCGCGCACGCCGCCCGCCCCCTCACCCGCCTCGCCCGCCCCGCGTACGCCCGGCTCACCTCCCTCGCCATCTACCACCGGCTCCAGGATGAAGTCTTCTGAAATATGTACAGCTTACCTTAACATACTTTTATAATGCTATCAAAATTAATATATGATCAAGGTCTCCATCAAATCATACTAACATTATAAATGCGAAAATATAGGTGGATGAATTGATGCGTGTTTGTTACAGTTTGTAGCCTAAACGGCTGAACGAATTTCGATGAAATTTGGTACAGATGTAGAGGATAGTCTGAAAGAACACATAGGCTTATGTTTATTTTAATTTCTCGCGGACGGATTCGCGGGCGAAAGCTAGTGTAACATAATGGGTACATGCGAGCCTTCACATCCACTTTAAGGGCTGTATTGTATAAGACTGTAACATAGTAACGTTGGCTAAATCTAGTTTACCTTCGCAAAGTTTCCCCGTGTACCCGGGTCGGCAGGAGCAGTAGAAGGAGTTGGAGCTGCTCCAGCACGTGCCGCCGTGCGCGCACGGGTTGTTGTCACAAGGCTGCAAATGTTTCAACAAACATGCTACAATAACAAACATTTATATAGAACATACACTTTAATTTCTTTTTTAATTCATAAGGTGGCAAACGATCAAGCGGCCACCTGAATCCGTCAAAATCCGACCAAAATGCCCGCTGGCCATAGACATTCGTAAAGAGGATATTTCCCCTTCCTATGCGTCTCCTCCAGCTTCGTCCACGTTCCCTTCCTATCCTTCCCTTATAAAAAAAGGCCAGGAATGAAAAGGGACTAAAGTTGAGCCTCTGGCACCACACTCATCAGACGAAACGCAGAAATACTTCCACGTCACGCCTGTCTTCTGTGTGGTCGTGGTATTACATCGGGCGACCCGACTCATTCGTACGAATATGTTAAAGCGGGCTCCACCACTGCCAAAAGTTATGAACATGCATGTGTATTGGGGAAGACATTGGAGAAGGGACAAATAAAGGCTGACGATGATATGGATTGCGTGTTTAATAGAAATTGTGCTGAATTGAAATAAGAATTTGAACAAAGAAATGTTTCAAGGTTACGTAAGTGTCGCTAATGTACGATTATTTCTATAAAGACGTAATCAGACCGATCTAGGCGGCATGTTGCAATCGATGCACTCGCAGGTGTAGGAGTTTCCGCGATCTACGCAGTAATGGTTCTCCGAGCAGGGGTTCGGCGAGCACAGGTTCACCTGGATTATATAGAAGCCTGCTATTATACAACTAGAAAACAATTAAATCTTATTCAGTTGTAAATGTTTTAGTTATAAATGTTTTGGTAATAAATAAATAAAAATCCTTTACAATATTATGCCAACTTTATCTATTAAATGCTTTATTTTTTGCTATAACTAAAATCTTGGTATAATTTTCTGTTGTTAACTATTCTTAAATTCATAATTATGTGACCTACAATAATCTGCATACATAAATGAGACAGTTCCTAAAACTAAATGCATGTTAGCATTGAAATATTCATTATTTAGTGTCAAATGGAGCATTTGATCACGCGTCACCTAAAGGCGAAGGCGATGTTTTTAAAGAGGAAGTATACTTTGTAACAAATGATACAATGAATTATTATTTGTTTTTACATTAAGTTGCGGCAAGCGCCATTTTATCTCACCTGGGTGCGGTCTATTAGCTTATAATAGACACGCTGCCGACGTGCTACCACTTATCAAATACCGGTAGTCAATTATAACATATTGTTATGTATAAGTCTGTTTCTAAATTATGTTTAACTTAAAGATTAGTTGCTAACATATTATATCGTTTCTTAATTTTTTGTTATAATTGTTTATATTTTTTTTAAATAATGATTATTATTTACAAATAAATGTCAAAGACAAACATAGTGGCGGGTACCTTTAGCTGGCAGGCGTTGCCGGCGTACCCACGGCCGCACGCGCACGAGAAGCCGGCCACGCGGTCCGTGCACGTGCCGCCGTTGAGGCATGGCGACGATTCGCACTCGTTGTACTCGACCTCGCAGTGCTCGCCTGTGTACCCTGGAACAAATACATATATTTACACAGTTAAAATTTAGTATGTGGGATAGAACTGCATGCGCGTGTTCACATTGTTTTTATTTCGAACTAGCTGTTGCTCGCGATTTCGTTGAAATTAAAAATAATATAAAGATGTTACCTACGCGCAAATAAATTACCTTGCTAACTGTGACAGAATTTTTAAAATCGGCCCAATAAATTTTGAGTTATTTCAATATATACAAAAATACAAATCTTTTATCTTTATAATATTAGTATAGATGAGCCATTTCAAACATTATACCAAACAAATTTGTCATAGAATGTACTGCAATAGAAACCACGATCAATATAACGTAGGTGGGCGCCCACATGTTAGACAGAGTCTGGAATCCCTTAGCATAAGAATTATTCGCCATATAACTAACCAGAGAAAGCTTATAACATAAAACAATGGACTTTCCTTGCTTTGATTAAAATGTATTAAATCGTCCAATCGCAATTTACATACATATGTATACATATGTCATATGTGAACAGTAATATTGTTTTAAATAAAAGCGAACATCGTACAAATCGATAACGTAGGAACAATTTAGCAAATTGAAGTTCCGATGGGAAATGCTAAACCGCACGTGTCAATGGAATTGAGTATATGAACGTATGCAATGTAAATTAGTTCGCGCGCTCACCGCTGTGTACACTGTGGCACTCGGAATGCTCACCGCTAAGCCAACCTTGATGATATTCAGTAAATATTGATCATTCTGGTGTCAGTTGATGTCATTAACTCATTAACATCGTGCTATGTAATGATGATCATCATGTATGAATATTGAAGAGGATTTCACAACAACCTAATCCGTTATAATCATTATAAAAAAATTAAAGTCTCTAGCTTGCAAAAATTGCTTTTGACAGGTAGAGTATTTTTGGTGTTATATTTTTGAAAGACTAAGGTTTCATTAGACAAGTTTAGGCAATTGCGAGCGAGTACGGGCAACCTTCCAAATATATATGGAATAAGTTGGCCGTAATTTCAAGCGGCCGCCTTCGAATACGAGATTACCGCGTTATTGGAGGCTTTAGAGCGCCTTACCGCATTTATCTTTCAAATGTCGCCGTTTTATTTGAATAATACGTAAAGGCAAAGGGACCTTTGATTGGCGGTGTTTTGGATCGTAAATCTAAATAGTAAATTGAATTTGATTAAAATATTGAATGTAAATAAAATTTGCGTTTAATTTTATGTGAATCAAAGCTCGAGGTACAATGTTGAATAAGAAATTATTGACTTGGCGGTAACTTACCAGGCTCGCAGAAGCACCGGTAGTTCTGTCCATTGTTGGCTTGCTTCTCCTCTACACAGATGCCGTGGGCGCAGGGCTTGGCGGCGCAGGCCTTGCTGACGGGCTGCTCGCACTGCGGGCCCGACCAGCCCGTCGCACACGCGCAGTGGAACGTAGTTGACCCGTTGACCGCCATACTCATACACGACCCACCGTTCGAGCACGGCGTCGAATAACAAGGATCCTTTTCACATTTTCTACCCGTAAATCCTATGTTAGAAAAAGTACAAACTGGAGTGCAGCCTATAACGACGTAGTTTTTGCTATGAAAAAAAGGGTACATAAACATTTTGAACAAATTTCTGCTGATCGAATTACCTCCTAAATCACCTCTCCTTCTTATTATTACAAACATAACAATAAAATCATGATCGATGAATAAACTTTTGAAAGTTTGTATTTAAAGCTGTTATAACTTAAGCTTAACAGCGATAACAAGCTAAGCGTGGTTATAATTTATTGCATTCTATACCTGATTGCTGAGAGCAACGGTTAAACCAGCCCAGTAGCACCGTGGCGCCGAGAATAGATACCATCTAAGGGGTCACCTACATTCGTTACTTGCAGCGAATCACTTATCGCCCCTGATCGCTGCAAAACCTTGAGGTATAGAGCTACGCCGCTTCTTTTTATTGCCCTATCTCACATACACGAGTGAAGAAAGATGAAGCGATAAATTTTATCGCTTTATTACAGTTTTCCGAATCCAATTTATATTCAAATCTACAAGACCAGACGAAGAAATAATTTAACATTTATTTTTTGATAGATATGGTAGAAATATTAAAATGCAAATTAAGTTTATCTACTGACGAGCACATAACAGACTTAATTTGCATTTTATTTATGTCGCATAGTGAATACGACAGTATAAGGAACACAAATATTATTCAAAGGCACGTAAATTCTGCATAGTACGCCAGACTAAACTTCATTTCGTATAAAAACAACTTCGCATTATCAAAGTCAAGTCTGCAAGACAGACTTTTTCTGAAACAAAAGCTTACAAAACTTTAAGAAAATTAATATTCACATTTCATTACTTTTCAGCGAGTTCTATGATGACATATGACGAAAAATCTATGATATGATTTTTGAGCTAGTATGGTACCCGTAAAATCCTTTTAAGTAGCTGACAAATACTTAAAACCAACAAATCTTGAAATGCTTACCGTAAGGACATAAGCAGTGGTAGGTGGCACCGTTGAGTGGCTGCGAGATGTCGACGCAGATACCGTTGTTGAGGCAGGGCGAGGGGCTGCAGGCCGCGCGCTCCTCGCAGTGCGGGCCCGCGTGCCCCCGGCAGCACTGGCACTCGTACCCCTCCTGTTATACATTCCTTATCATCATTTTATTATCATCATGTCATGTATGTCAAAATTATAGTAACACGACCACTTTAAATTTATTTGCGTACGGTAACTCTAAAAATGTTATTAAATATGTCTTCCACATAACATTACCGTAGAAGCACGTAAATTGTGATGGACAAGGGGAGGGATATTAGTTTAGTAAAACTAATTTCCGATATTAAGTTAATTAAATAATTTCATATATAATGGAAAAGACAATTTTGTATTCACAGTACGTTATTTTTAATTAGATAACTTCTTTAAGTTAATCTTTAATGCCCTTTTTCCGAGTGACGAACCTTAAAAAGTATTTATTCAGATATTATCTACACATATTTCACGTGAATTGTTCTCGTTTTATGTTCAGGAAAGAAATCCCCAGGGGCGAGTGAACGGGGAACATAATACTATAATAATAGCGAGGCGTGTTAACTATGTAGGATCCTTTCCGCCGCCGCCCGCACCCGCTGCCCGTACGACACGAGACGGGAGTCATGTTCCAAATCCTATAAACTCTGGCTACTGGATATCCTGTTAGTGTTAGTACTTATGGGTAATATAACTTTCAGTTCATAGTTCTTTCAGTAAAAACCTAGTAGTAGTAAAACAATGAAAATAACAGAAACATCCTTCGTAACTGATTGGAAATCGTTTTTTAAATTAATACATTTACGAATTACAAATTACTGTTCCACTTTAACGTTAAAATATGGTCGTATACACAAAACACATTTTTTAAGGATAAAATATCTCGATATTTATAAAAATAAATAATATGAAGCAATTCCAATCTTACCATAGATACATTGGTGTAGCATACGCCCTTCCCTGAGCATTCCTGCGACTCACCGCAGTTGTCGGACTTGACGGTCACCTTCAGACGAACGCATTGCGAGCCCCAGTTCTCTGCTACCACTGCAAACATAATTCAACCCGCTTCCTTGATATATCTCACCATCATATACTTTACTTAAACACAGCTCCAGGATCTTTGGTGGAACGTATCGGTGCTCTACCCATAATATAGTACTAGTTAACAAAGACCTCAAGCGATGGCGCTTATCAACTTTCCCATAGTTGTATTTCCAAATTTTACCACTTTCCAGATAATTTTGTCAGATATTATTCTAACTTTCCCGACGCGACGTAGTCATAAAATATAGTGATGTATATTGCGTGAGGAAGAAAAGATATATTTTTTGTATTCAACTGCGGAAGACATCCATAATTTTTTCTTCGCTGCTTCCTTCCGCTTGTACCGACATCACGCACATTTCTTCCCATTCATGAAATAATTTATTCATTACAAAATTCCGATAGATCTATCATAAAGATAGACATTATTAAGCAAATTTATATTGCTTTTCGGAAAATACCTACACGTTTTAAGAAACAACTGGTAATTGACATTTTACCTATGAGCAAATTAACGCCTTCAGTAAGATCTTTATCGTAAAGGGTGAACAGTTTGGCGCCGTTTTCATCGAGCGGCGTGATATCGAGGAGCATGCCGTCGGTGACGTCACAATGCAGGTGTCCCTGTCTCGTCACCTGGTACACAGCGGGCTGGACGGAGGCACGGTGTGCTCTACAAAACAATTCTTCCATAAATAAACTTATGCTGTGGACCGCTGAACATCGTAGGTGGAATGACACGGGTCACTGCGTAATAAAGCATCGTGTAGGCTGTAGCATAGATAGTTATTTTTCACATAAATTTTCATATTTAATGTAGCTATATTTAGGTCACCTTTTCTGTAAGCTATTTTATAGTAACTTGATTAGTATGTCTTTGGAAACCAGTTGATCAACGTAGTAAAGTTTTTTTTGCTTGAGGTTATACAATCTTATACATGGAACCTTATAAGAGTGTAAACAAAACGTTTCCAGGAATAATATACTATCCTATTATTAAGTTAAGAACGACTGACCTCTGTGCGGCATCGATAGAATTGGAATCTTCAGTGTCATTGTTGGCGACGTGAGGTGCAGAATCGAGGAGCAGGGGGTCGGCGATGCGCACGATGAGGATGTCTCCGCTTTGGATGTCCGCCGTGCCCTCCCACGATACCACCACGGGGGGGCAGTTCTCCTCGCCTCCTCCCAGCCCTGCGCCACCGCACTCCTCCGCCATCCGCACCGCAAACACACATTCATTATAATGTCGACATAAGTCACAACTGGACTCGCGTTATGCCACATTAATCATGCTTTTTCATCTATTTCAGCTTTTGTCTTTTTATTACAATTCTAGAGTATGAAAAAAGAATTACATGTATATTCAAGTTAACAATTGCAATGTTATAACATTGCATTGTTTTGCAGAAAAGTAGTCAAGGTTCTAATAGCGAGTACGCATAATATAAACCAGCATTTTTGCTAGCTCGAGTTAAAATCGGCATTGAACAATAAACGGTCAAGGTCATAAGGAAACGACATACTAGCAAGAAAGGTAAAATTACAGTTACTGTAACGAACCCTTAACCCAATCGTTCAACGAAAGCTCATGAATAAATTGGTCAAAGCTCTACCCTTGAAGTCGATTATCATAATCGGAGAAATGAAGCTAAAACCATCCCAAATATATATATAATCAATCTACAAGTAGCTTTAATTAAGCTGATTGATAGCAGAGAAGTATATAATTTATAATTATACTTAGTATGTATCATAGAACAATGACAAATGATTAAGGAAAGGATTCCAACCAGTGAAGCGAACAATTTTCTCCCATTTCTGTGACGCTAAAACGATTTATGGTTTATGTGTTTGACCTCGGCGTGCCCCCGACGCTGTCACGATCAAACTTACGCAAACAAGAATATTATATTTTCTCTGAAATACGCTTTAACTTGACTTTAACTTGACTTTCTTCTCATTTTTACTAATAAACAATTAAAAGATTATTGGAATGTGTCATGGAACGTCTCTACGCTAACATAATTTTCAATGCAGCGATTATTTTTTACCACTTACCATTATTTGCTATAATAATTTAGTATTAAGCATTTATTGTGCTAATAAAAAGCGCCTACTCAGTTTTCTATTATACTTGGAACTCAGTCAATGTGACCTTCTCTTGATTGAATTACTCCCACATAAAGTTTTGCTATAAATCTCGTGGCGCTTAAAAGTGAATTGTTATAGTTGTTAAGTTGTCGGGCTGCAAGCCAACTAACCAATTAGTTAAAGTCGCCGACTGTCTCATATCCAACATAGCCACTTTATCTCACTACCGTTGCGATCAATAAAGACTTCTGACCTATTCTGTCCTTTGCAACGTATGGAACTGGATGTGAAAAACTACTATATATGTGTATAAGCTACCTATACGACAATATGGGTATTAAAACTCTATGGTAACTATATCTTATTGTCTTTTTAATTCAGTGTAACACAATTGATAAATAGAATATTGATGTAGAATTATTCTTCAGGATGAGACATCGTAAAAATTAAGAATAAAGTTAAAAATAGAAAAAATAGACTTATTTTCGCACATCTCATTATTCGGAAAAACTAAAATGGTCTCAAATTACCGCTTGAAACTTAAATATCACGTTATTAAAAAGTTTTCAAAAAGAATCATAAAAGCTTTTTATATGTCTAGTTTTGCTTTTTATATAAGAAAGCTTTTACAAGACACGGCAAAGTTTGGAGTAAATTAGTTATTTTTAATACCTGTTAAGTATAACCTTTTTAGAAATACCAAATACCTGACTTGACTTTCATGTGTTCATAATTCTTAAAAGCTTTGAAAATAAATTTAACGAACATTTCCCGGATCTGTCTAACAGCCGTATTCAGAATTTTTAATTGCTAAGGCAATCCTTTAGTTTTTGATTTAAAATTACTGAATTTCTCCAAGTGAAGCAGCACGGGCGTGAAGATTCGTGAACAGCATTTAAGTATCTAATAAAAGTTAAAAGTGCCTGTGAGCGTCGTAACTTAGGATTAAACCCTTGTCTTAACAACTGAGAAGCCGTCAGACTCAACTGAGATTAAGAGAGTAACTCAAACCAGATCTTACAACTTTGTAACTTATTACCTTCTACACGGTTCACAAAGATTTTTTTCTCGCCGCCCTCGTAGAATAGAGTTTTGTAATCTTGACGAAAATATTCATTTATAATTTACACCTCATACCTAGCTATTTAAGCCAGTGATGTAAAAAAATCCAAAATTTACGTAACTAACTAAAATGTAAATTAATTCAAATTGGTTTACTTTTTAATATTTTGCTTACCGTTACTGGTAAATTGAGTTCATGCGTCTCGTTGCCACGCCAGAGGCGGGACTCGCGCGGCAGCAGCGGCAGATCGCAGTCTGTGGCCCCCAAGTGATCTTGAAAGCGCGCCGAGGAACGTGCTTTGCCACTAAAACCACTAGAAGTAGTGTTTAGCTTTTGCTTTCTTGCACTTTTCGCTGCTCCCTTTGTTTTTGCTGTGCTTATGGCCTTTGTATTACTTCGCATGGTCGTTGTGCTCTCGGTAGTTGCATGTTCTTTTGTTCTGTTTATGTTCGCTATTGTTGTCGAAGTGGCAGTCGACGGAGATAGTGTAGAGTATAATAGCTTGCCACTCGATTGTGTTAGAGGTGGCTCAGTGGAGGGAGACGCATTTGTTGTCGCTCCGATTTCGTCCTTTACAGTTGTATAGTTTGAGTCTGTTGAATTTCCGCAAACAACGACACTTATGAATGCCAGAAATATTAGCGACATCACAACTAGTTTTCGTTTCGGAAGATTCTTCATTTTTATGAAAATATTGTTCTCGTTATTACAATCGTTGAAACGACCTCAATTATGCTGTAAATATTTTCACCACCTGTTGAAATATAAAAATATACATACATAAACACATTTGTATTAATAAAAAAAGTAAACCAAATAGAAAAAAGCATTTAATTTGGTAATATTCCCTAGAATGCGCTAAAGCTTTTTTAGTTTTTATCATTTTTAATGATAATCGACAACAACGACGTATGACATGCAACACACACCCATGTCTACTGCAATATTCATAGTAATACAGTTTTTGCGTCTAATTAAAAAGAGGTACATAAGTTTATGCGGCTGACTTCTAACTTTTTGTTCGTAGGTTTAATTTGCTTTCAATTCAATTTATTTCTCCTCATTTCTTTAATAGCATTTATTACTAAATGTAGTAAATGGACAATACTCATTAATGGTTTTAATGACATCCCAGCCAAAAATATTAAACAATAATAACAGTATACTGTAGACTACTATTTGTTTCTCCAGACACTATAAGACGTGTCTAAGGTAACAATAGCAGTCACCTCTGAGGTAAAGGAGCTGCTCTTATTATCGTAGATAGAAGAGCAACCTCTTCTCAGTCAAAACATCTACATAATATAATTGGCCCGCCGATGGGCCGTAGGCTGTAGGGCCCTCGCTTCGATGGCGACCCTCTTCAAATCAGAGGACATACTCCCTGTCAACTTCGTTTAACTAATTTGCATTTATAACGAATTTCTATAATTCAAATTATTCTTTATTATATTCACGTTTACATTTTGTGGTTGTAATAATTGATTTCTTGAACAGTTAAATTTTGTTAAATAAGCTTGAGTTAAATGTGTGTATAAAAGCTTTCAAATATAATGAAGTAATGTTAACTTACCGAATGATACATGTATAAAATAAAACGATAAGTTATAATACAAAAGGCTACGTATTCAGATCACGCACTGAACTTGAGATAGCAAACTTTTGTAAAATAATTTGAAAACTTTTAAAGCTCTCAAAGCTCTAATAGGACTTATATGAAAAGACAATCTGTATTACAACACGTGTTATTTGCAATAAAAAGGTGCAGTAATGTTTATGTCTGCTGTGATATTGTTCCAAATTAATAAAATATATGGACTTGGCAAACGTTTTACATGTCTTAATAATAATGTCCTTTTACTTACATAAGTTGTCACTTCATTGGAGGTTTTGCTTTTTTATCAATAACTATATATTTTTATCGATTTCGTTACGCGTTCGTACACCGCACAGGATTAAAAGGTAAAGTTCATCTCATGTTGACATTAAATGAGAATTGATAATTCTTATTGTATCATATTTGTATTGAACACAGATATAGTTATACTTAGAAAAAAAATAAAACCGTGCACGGCATATAACAAGTGGATAATTTAAGTAAATTTAATACTTTTGTGTTAAGGATAGAATGTTTTTATGTCATGAAACGCGTTGGGCGGGCGGCGTAGACCGCAGCCTCCGTGGCACTGAGGGCGGCCGGCCACCGCACCCCCGCACGCCGCGACCCTCGCCCCTCTCCCTGCGCACCCAACACCTCCGTATCCTTACATATTTTCTCTCTGTACCCTCACCCCCACAAAAACAGAACTGAACTGAAATAACTAAGCGCTTAACATTGAAAATTAACAATTTAATGTTTTAAGTTTGTAATATTTTGTTTACATCAAAAATCAATACTGGATTGAGATTAAATGTACATATTACGACCTTGTTGTGGTCTAGAATTACTAATCTTTAGGGATATGACGTAATATTTAACATTATCGTTTTAAAATTAAGAAAAGCGAGTTAATTTTCATCCACGCAAATTCTACATTTACGTCTAATAACAAATTACGCAATCCGCGTCGAGGTCAAAATATAATTTATTTAAAGTAATCCCGGGAAGGTATTAAAACCGTATTAAAATCTGCTTATTTTTAAAAACCTTTCGGTCCTTCCCTTTCGCTACATTTAACAATTAATTGAATCCCTTATGAACGTGTCCTGTTGCTTACCTATGCAAGAACGACGATTAGGATCGCTAATGTAATCTTACAAAATTTAGAATACAACATAATATAAGTAAATGTGCTATTGATTAAATATTGAAATATCGCTTTTTATAAAATGATTTGTCCTTTGAATACAAAGCAATGATAATTTGGAAAGACTTGTTATGAATATTTTTAACTTCGTGTAATTATTATATTTTTATCAGTGTTGATTTAACACGTTATGAGCAGCGTGATGTAACGTCCAATGTATCGCTTTAGTTGTTACGTAATAAACATTGAAGTGTAAGAGATTGGCTAACCGCCAGCTAGCCTAGTGACGGTTATCTCGCGCGTGGATCCAACACAGCCTCGAAAATATTCTCACTTCCCAGTCCCCATGGAGAACACTCAGATCGCGGCCCGCGTGCTGGCGCCATTCCAAATTATCGACGTAGAAGCGCCACCTCATCGCCTTTCTGCAGATGCACGTCCACTCGATAAACTTGTCAAGTTACACTACACATATCAAGATAGAACATGTTTTGTTGTTGTTAATAAACTGTGGCCAAGAATACTTAGCATTTAATTCTTTTAAGTTGCGACATATTTAGATATACTTCTCCTTAATGGGTAAATCCTTATTTCACACTTTCGTATAAATAACGTATTGGAAATTTATTTATCTTGTGATTGGTGAAAATGAATCAATTTTCGTAGACGAGCTACGGCGTATATAAAACTAGAAAATGTTTTAACTGGGGATTGCACTTTTTTACTTTTTCTATATGCCAAGTTACCACTTCACACAAGAGCATAATTTGATATGATTGAAATATATTTTCTAAAAAGTTATATGTTTTTAATAAAGTATCTTTTTCTCTGTAAAGTAATGAATGATGAAGAGCTAAGTACAGTGTTTGTTTTTTCCTTTATCACGTTTGAAAGCTCGCTTCGCCTTTGTAACGTCGAGTGTTGAAAGGAACAAAGGCTAATTATGTAAGTGACTGCATCGTTGCTTTGTAACTTGACGCACAGTATTTTTTCTGTTTGACTTTAATATACGCATGCTGTTCTATTTTTAAAATAGGTTTATACTTCGTTTGAGTGACGCAAGCAAAGCCTAAGCTTTATTAAGCTGCTTTTAAGCTTATATTTTCTCTAGTGTATTACAGATTTTCACTGGAAGATTAGAGCTTAACAGGATTACAAATAAACGCGGTATAAAGTTAATATTAGGAATAAACTGAGTATAAACAAATATTAGTACAAATTTTGCTTATACTTAGTCTATTCTTTAGTATAATTTTGAACCGTATTTATTTGTAAGGCTGTTAGTTTAATTACCAGACTTTGATATTTCAATAATGTAATTTTAGGAAGTTCAGTGCCGAACTTTAGCAATATAATTTGCCTTAGTCCGCTTACATTTTAAATAAACGGTTTTTGGAAATACTGAATTACGCTAAACGCAGTTACGAATCGTGTCTTACTTTGTTGTGTCAATACATTATTCGAGTTTGCATGTTTACTGAGACAGTCATCGTGATTGTTATTGTTCATAGTGTATTACTATACGTTTACTGCATTACATTGTTTGGATTTGACTGAAGAAAAGATTCAGCTATAAGTAACTAATAAAAAAATCAAACTTTATCTATGTTTGAAATTGAAATATTTCGGATTATACTGTATACTTCTACTTCTGCAGTATTAGGACTTATGCAATAGGAAATAGTAGGAAAATCAACAACTTTTACAGACATAAATTCTTTATTTAAGAAACAATTTTCTACACTTATTAAGATACTGTGAAATGTGTAAAACATTCCACAGGTTTCATCATAGATGAATAACTAAGTATATAAACAACACAAAAATACTTCTTATATTAACATGGAGAGGGACATTTTAATAAATTTTGTACAAAAGTACTCAAACCTAAGAAATATAAAAAAGTTGTTATTCTACAGATAATGTAAACGAGGGCTTCATGTAAAATTGATGTCGTCACTGGTGTGATGATCTAAGACTAGTCTAGAATATAGGTTTTAAATTATTAAAATTGCTAAATTTATTGCTAAATAGTGATATTTGCGATGTTTCGGACTAGTCTAGAAAATAGGTTTTAAATTATTAAAATTGCTTAATTTATTGCTACATAATTGTGATATATGTGATGTTTCGTTAAAATCATACAAGCTACAACGTACATAAAACTACAAAGACTATATAATTGTGATGAAAAGAGGTAAACAGTGACAATACATCGATAAAGACGGATTTAATTAAAAAAATAAAGTAAAATTTGAGCTGTAGTACAGTGACCTCCACTGCCGTTGTTGCACTTACAAATTGTCTTGTTACTTGCAGCTCATCCACGTTCTTACAAATAGTGTATTCTCTGAACTGTACTTGTATAAATAAAGTGGAATACGCTACTATTACTTAACTTTACTATTATTATTACAATTCAGACGTTCAATAAATAATTGCTTCAAAGTTGAACCGCCAGTGAACGCCACTGTACCTGTGAAGCAATAGAATCTCCAACAATTTCTTACTTCAAAAAATTTGTTAAATTTTTCGATAATAAATTATTATTTTCAATGTATTTTTATCAATATTAGGAATATTTGTATGATAAGTGAAAATTATTTAAATCACCTACAAATTATTTATGAATACGTTGTTTAAATATTACAATATTAGCTGCTCGTGTTCGCTGAATAAATCAACTGATATGTCTAAGAATTAAAATAAACTAAAACATAAGTCTTTGTCTTAATACAAAATAAAACATACTCCATGAATAAAATAAAGTCTTGCTCCATGATATTACAATTTATATAGCCTCCACTTCACTTTTAGGTACAGCTCCCGTTGTGTCGTTCTTTATAAATCCCTGAAAACAATAAGAAAAAGAATTCTAACAACAAGAACAGATGTTCAGATGTGTTGTGAATAATAAAATATATTACAAATGTAAAATTTTGAATGGATAAGCACACATAGGGTACTCTTTAGATGTTTTTAATTTCCATTCCGACAAAGCCACGGTCGACAGCTAGTATATAAAAATACTGTCTGTTACTCGCGACGTCGTCCCCATTCAATTAAAAAATAATAAAAGTTATAATCTATGTTACTCACAGATAAATTAGCTTTCTAATGGTGAAAGAATTTGAAATTGGTCCGGTAGTTTTTGAGTTATCTTATTACATACAAAACTACAAATCTTTTCCTTATAATATTAGTATAGACTAGCTGTTGCCCACGACTTCGTCCGCGTGGAGTTCAAAATTTACGTTCGCCCTTTTTTTTCAACCTATCATCTAAATTAGTCACTTAATAATATTAGTATAGATTTACTTGATGTATGGCGTGCGCGAGCGCGTCGTATGGCGGCGCGTGCGCATGCGTGGGCAGGGGGGCGTGCGCGTGGGCGGGGTCGTGGGCGTGCGCGTGCGCGTGGGCGTGGGCGTGGCTGTGCGTGGCCGCCATCTTGTCGGCGTGGCAGCGCAGGCGGTGCGAGCGCAGCGTGGACGCGTACGCGAAGCGCTCGTCACACCACTTGCACGTCAGCGGCTTGTCGCCCGTGTGCATGTACATGTGCACCTGCAACACAAAATTTACAAAAAATAAATAATAAGTTCAAGGTTATTGCCCTACTACTAAATTGATCAATAATGATCAATCCTTTTATAGTTTTAATGTGTTGTAAAGTCTTTAGATATAGATAAAGGGTATCTATCGTCAACCCTAACTTAGGGTATGTTCCGAGCCCCTTAGTGGGACGTATAGTGAGCTATAGATAATATCGTATCTATCGAGCAAATATAGATGAGTTATACATGTATGTAGTTGCATCGCATCGCACCTTCAATGTCTGCTTGCGCTTGAACGCCTTGTTGCAGTAGGAGCAGACGTGGCGGCACTTGTCCTCGTGCACCAGCAGGTGCTTGCGCAGCGTGCGCCGGCTGTTGAGCACGCGGCTGCACACGTAGCACGCGTACGACGTCTCCTCGTGCGTGTCCATGTGCGTCTTCAGGTTCGAGTACGTCTTGAAACTGGACACGTACACATCGTACACATCGTACACATCGTACACATCGTACACATTGTACACATTGTACATATAGTACACATTGTACATATAGTACACATCCTACGCATTATACAGCACAGATTCATGCAGCAACCTTTAGAAGTGTTGATAAGTTTAACGCTCGTCGTGTTAACCCATAAATGCATGATGATGCATGCATGTCTTTTCTTCTTTACACAAAAAACTATTTTGAAATATGTTCAATTTACAACGCATATCAATTTATGGTATTTAAAAAATCATACATTTAAGGGTTTACCTTTCCTCATTTTATATCGGTAATTGTATTGATTTTTTTAATTTGCTACGAATAATTTTCGGTTGTCTATTGCTCAAATTGTTTTATGTAGGAAGTAAATCATTTGGAACAAGTAAAAGCAAACTTAACAGGAACATTAGCGTGCTTTATTATGCTTTTTCAAGAATAGAGATCGACTTTCTAACTTTATACAATAGGGTTATTTATATAGGATCTTTTATACTATTTTTTGTTTGATCAAGTAGCCAACTCAGTATAAATATAGAATAAAATTCAACGAGTGTTCGGATAATGCTTTTTGCGTTCCTGTTACATTTGAAAGCTTCGCTTTAGAAATTCCCGAGGCGTTGTTAGCAACTTTTATTCAAAACTCCGCACCGCAGTCGCGTGCGTTTTACTTTGTTGACGCTAAACCTACTTTGTGATTTCTTTTCTCTTTCAACAATAAAAACTCCGCTTCACCTGGAACAATTTTCTACCTCTTAACAATAACTCGCTTTACATTTTCTTGTTCGAGTTTTCCCGTAGGTAAAAACGGAACTTTTTCATTTCTTAAAAGACTTAAACCTTTTGTGATGAAATAATAGAGAAATGGAACCATACATTGTTTGAATCCGACATCATGCATTCATTTTGTTTTATCTCTATTTTTTTTGTGTGTAAATAAACTGCTTTATAACATTTGGTGGGATTTTGATAAAGTTTTTGTGTACATTCGAGTAAGATTTAGGACGAATATTATTTGACTTTTTAAAGTAATAAAAAAATATGAACCTCACATCATTACACACAGAGAGGGAGTTAATTAAGATGCCCAGTTGACCTACATAATAACACCAATTATAACTATTGTTTTTACTCGCGACAATGTCCACGCGGAATTTAAAAATAAAATTTAGTAACGTAAGTAGCCTGTGACCTTGAAGACTATTTTCTATGTTCTGTGCCAAATTTCAAAGAGCCCTCAAGTAGCGTTGAAGATACATAGTAACAAACATTTATCCAAAGTTTAGCAATAAGATAAGAGCGTGGAGTAGAAGCAAGGAGCGTGTGTTCTTACGGCTTAGAGCACTTCCTGCAGACGAAGGGCTTGTCGTCGCTGTGGATGGCGCGGTGCTGGCGCAGCTCGCCGTTGGTGCCGCAGGCGTAGCCGCACAGGTCGCACACGTAGCTCTTTATCTTGTCGTGAACCACGCGCTTGTGCGACGCCGCTGACGAACGCGTCGTGAACCTGTACGACACGCATATACCTTGTATAATTAAAGTATATAAGTGTCTATAATCCTAAAAAACACATAGATAACTCAAATGAGTTGTTAATTTCTCATTAAACTGGACAAGTTGATAAATGTTTTGTGTGGAATATAAAATGTACTGTTAGCCCCCCCCCCCTTCCCAATATATAATCAGCTGGCAACGCCCATGTCGACAACTTTTGCTGCAAAATCATTTATGTGTAAATTACAATGCTGTTAAGATATGTCATTTCTACTGACTTTTGAACAAAAACTTTTTTTAAAGTCACCTGACTATAAGCAATTTCATAAATTAGTTTTTCAAACAGAGATATAAATGGTCAACTATACGAGGTTCTTCTACATACTTGAGATCGCACAATTCACAGCGGAACACCTTCCTCTCCTCTATGGGTATGTGCGACTTCTCGTGCGACTTGAGCGTCTCGCGGCTGCTGCAGGCCTTGCTGCAGGTGGCGCAGCTGAAGCGGCGCTCGCACTTCGGCACGTGGCGCATCTTGTGCTTCGCCAACGCTTCCATCGTCTTTGTTATTCTCGGACATTTATCACACCTAAAACACCAACAATCAGATAATTATAACATATTCGGACTTACAAAATGCACATTTATACTAAATACAAATCATATAAACGCTGTTGTAATTTTTGAAATTTAGTCATGCTTATTAGAACAGTTGAAAAATGATACTGAAATATGGAAGTTCACTGAGCTATTATCTTTTTGGGGACAGACAGAGATAGCGATTGTGTTAGAAGTAATTTAACAAGCAAATAGCCATATTAAGTTATATAAAAAAACATTTGTAAATATTCAACTTCTGATAAAAAAAAAACATTCAACCTCGGCTGGGAATCGAACCAGAATCCGTGGTGTAACAACACTATGATGGCTCAGTAGCTTATTAGCTAACCTGATTAAAATTGAAATCTGAAAAGCTTTACATACGCAAGGAAATTGGGATTCTTATGATCTTGAACATGTTTGTACAGAACTGATTTAGACTTAAGCGTTATCCCGCACACGCATTTAACGAAAGGCATTGCGTCGTGCTCCAGCTGAGAGTGCGCCTTCAGAGTGTACCAACTCGAACATTCTTTTTCACAAATATGGCATATGAAACTAAAAACAAAGATCAACCATAAAATTTGAATTTAACTTGCATATTATTGCAATCATTAAAAATGTATATACTTAATAAAATCTTTAACATTAAGGCTCAAATATTTTGAATCGTCGGTTTTGTCTCCATCGGAATCTGTTGCCGTTCTAAATTTTCTACTTTCTATTTTGTGATCGGACACATGTTTGTAGAGCACACTCTTTGACCGGATGACGAAGCCGCAGATACAGAATACGAGCGGTTTGCTCTTGTGTCTTTTTGCATAATGAAAGCCCAAAGCGCTCCACGACTTGAACGACTCTTTACAAACATCGCATTTTAATCTGTAACATGTTGAAAAGCATTAATTATAAGATGAATTAAAATTTGTTGGATATTTATAACTAAAAATAAAATGTTTTTAATGTTGAGAAGCGAGTTTTACTCAACTTTTTAACCTAACTAATATTATAATTGCAAAAGTTTAGATGAATATGTTTATTTGTACATATGTTGAAACCAACTCAACTGATTTTGCTGGTAGACATAGAGCATAGTCTAAAAGAGTACATAGGCAACTGATTACATACTGTCAAATATTTAAAAACCAATCAAAAGCAGTAGTCTTATAAAACAGCAGTTAGACAATCATGTTAATTTAGTCTAAAGATACTTACTTAACTATATCTTTTACTTTAATATTAGACTTTTGGAGTACTTTTTGAAATTCAATTGCTTCTTCTTCCGTCAATGATTTTCTTTTTATACGTTTCTTTTTTATTTGTTTCAATTCTGCTATTGAAACTTCTTCCAGATAGTCATCTTCATCGTCATCATCATCATCATCATCATCGTCATCCGAGAGATACTCTTCATTCTCATATTTTTCATTCTTTTTGGCATCATCAATACTTTCACATTCGATGACGACCCCAGCCATTTCTGACAATGATGGCCCATGATTGATAACACCTGTTGGTAATTCACATAACATCAATATCCCACTACTGGCTGATAGAGGCTCAGACAGCTTAAAAAGATATCACTGTCAAATAAGGTAACAAAATCCAATATTTCCATCACATATTTTACATGTTGAATTGTTATCAGACAATTTACAATTTAGTGGGACAGGCCCTTAGTATTTAATACAGTAGTCATGGAGTTCTCGGAGTTCCACATACAGATTGAAATATCTGAACATCATTATTTAAGAAAATGTAGTGGCGAAAATCCCATTTTATTACAATGTTGTAACTAAATAAATTATGATGACAGAATACTCACTTTCTATTTCTTCTGGCATTAACTCATCTTTAACCTTAAAACATAAGAAATATTTTAAATAGTTATTTTACATTTATTAAAATACCAAGCCTATAACAAATGATGTACATAGACAAGAAATACTGTATAGGGATCTTTTACACAAAGAATACAATAAAAGGCAACTAGGAAAAGGGAATTTGTAAGGGGGTTCTAAACATGTGTACTAGTCCTAATCCTAGTCAACTGTGCTAACATTAACATATTTATCATTGATAAATCACATTGATAAATTTACCTTGAGATATTGTCTCTACTATACATTGCAGCTCTTTTATGAACTTAGTCTTGTAACTCTTATCTTCTCTTGTCAATTAAGGTTCAAATTTATAATTAAAATCAACATTTTTACAAACCTCATATTTAATGGATGGACTAATGATGACATCTACATGTTCCTGCTTTATATTGAGATTCCTGTGAATGTCCTTTAATGCTTTTTGAACTTTATAACATTCCAAAACAAACAACTGAAAATCTACCATTTTTTCTTCGCAGTTTAGGCATATTTTTGTAGGTAGTTCGTCATTATCACTAATCTGAAATAAAATAAATGATTTCAAAGGATATTATATTATAAAATTGTGGTTCCTACGAAACTTCAAAAACATATTCAAATTTTTGAAGTATAGTAGAGAAGTACTAGTAAAACATTAAAAGAAATACTTACAACAATATTTACAAATTCTTTGATTAATTTAAGGAGATTCTGATTGCTTTCGTGTAGCAAATCTTTTGTAAATTCGTCTTCCTTTGCGCACAGTCGACATAATGCTTCGAAATTCAGGGCCATGTTTTCATATAAAAAAAAGGGATGAAAACGTTGTATACTTAATACTAATGCTTTAAACTAAATATTATGCATTTTAAAAACTAGAATATTATAACATTTTATGTGATGCTTTATGACTTTGGCTTCCTTTTCTGTTTCACTGTCAAAAGTCAGAAGTTTTCTATGGAAGTGTCAGAAGAAATGTCTACATTACGTCAAAAAAAACAAATCTACGAACATAGATAACAAATAAGGGGAACAATACACATAGTTATTTCAAAACCCGATGTTTGTAATAAAACTAAATATCGATGCTTTAAAAAATATATTTTTTAATTTAACACTGACGAAAGTAGTTGGTATATGTATAGAGATAAACGATCCTCCAATAGAGATAAAATGAAGAAGGATGTGGATGTCGTGTCGTGTTATAAGATAGGTATATAAAATTGTACAGAAGGGAAAGTTAAGTTTAAGCTTTGTCGACAAATCCGCTATTGTCTGTAAATTACTAATGACGACATCATCAAAAAGCGCTATTAAGTTAGAACGAAGCAAAGGGCATAATTTACGAAAAACGACCTTTCCAGTGATTTTTATAGGTTAGATGATTTCCTTTAGAGATCAGTGGACTGGACTAACCTTTAAATCGAAGATGGTCAAAATATCTTTTTTCGATGTTTAGGTGGTCTATTAAATTTGTAGTGTCATTTGATGTTCATTGTTCATACTTATCCATACCATAGATAATTAGAATTCGAATTTGTTTGCTAAGCTGTCATGGCTTGCGCTTGTAGACTTTGAAGTTTGTTAAATATTTTCATAAAAGCTTTTGAATATTCTCTTATTAAGACAGAGAAATTAAAATATTAATACATGGTCCAATTACATTTAAGTGTGAACTATAAATTGTGAAAACCAAATGTGATCTCGTGTAGTTTATTTCAACTTGTGTAGATAGACGGTTAAGAATTAAGAAGCGTTCGTTGTGATGCAAACTGAAAGCTGCTGATTTCGGTGCCGTGTTAACACGAAAACACGAATAACTTAATAAAATGGATTTCCATTCGGATTTCATGGAGCCCGCTACACCAGCGATAACATATGATAACATTAATAGATTTTCGAAGAATGAAGATAGTGGCTATCACACATCTTATACACCCGGCTCATTCCAATATTCAGAATTATCAAACGACAGTCTTAATTCTGTAGTACAGAGGCAATTTTGCCAAATTCAAGTGGAGTGTTATGATATTACCCCTGAAGTGAAACTCCGGTTAGGTCAGAGGTACAATAACTGTCCAAGTTCCATTAGTTTCGAAAACAATAGAGAATCTCCTGCAAATCGACGTGGAGTCAAGCGGCCATTTCAAGAGGAAATAGAAAATGTAGAAGAAACCTCTTCAATTCCGACACCCACTACTCTTATAGCTGGGTGTTTACGTAAACTTAAATTTAGTGATGGGAGTAAAATGAAAAGTAAAGGCGCTACTAGATGTACAAATACCATTTTGCAGGAGTTTAATTATCAGCATGAATGTGGAGTAAATGAAATATCATATCCTACCACACCTGTTAAGAAAATTTGTAGAAGCAGTTGTAAGTTAAATAGCCCCTTAAGTCTCAGGAGACCTGTGAAAAAATTAATAACTCATTCTCTTTCATGTGACATTGAACTGTTAGAACCAGTGAAGCAGCCGTCTTCTGTCAAAGTTAAAACATATCACATCAAACCTAACAAAAAAATTGATGTCATAAAAATGTTATATGAGCATGCAGCTATGCCTCCAATTATGGAAATATTCAAATACTTATCCAATGAAGATATTTACAACTTTAGTTTAGTGAGTGATACATGGTTGAAAGTTTGGGATGAAGTTAGTAAGAAGTTAACAGTTAAGCAAAAGTTTGTCCAGTTTATGCAAAGTGAAAAGGAAAACCAAGAGAACAAAGGTACAACACCAAAGGAAATGTGTCATAGGGTTGTTAGAATACCAATGGGGGTCCACAATGTGGCCCATACTCACTCCACAAAAAGCACAGTAACCAGCCCCCCAGGCACACCCAGAACTAACAAATTCAAAAAGTTTACTAAAGTAAGTATAGCTCAGATGAACTTGAATTTCAAACAAATGCAATTCAGTGCTTCTGTACTGATAAATGTTTTTTTACATTCCAGGCTGCATCTTTAGATGCCAGGATACAAGTTGTGTGTTCGAGATGTGATCAACCAGCTAAAGTAAACCAAGAGGACTCTGATGAGGAATGGGTTGAATGCACCAATGACACTTGTGCTTACCAGTTTTGTAGATTTTGTCGCTGTGACAGACACCCTGGCAGGAAGTGCCGTCAATACGATTTAGAAGGTCCTAGTCCAACAAAAAGGAAGAAAAACTCATTTGCGATATGCACAAAGAAGAGTAAGCGAATTTTACGTAGACTCTTGTGACTTGTAATTGTAAATGCAAAGCATTTGCCCAGTGAGCTTTTGTAAAATTAATGCTGTTACATTCCATATCCAAAGATAGTTTTAATGATTTTTAAAATCATTGTATAAAAGACAGAATGAATGTTTGAGATTAATAATTGGATATACCCAAGGTCTGATGCAGTGCCATTTTTTAATTTTTTTTGGTAATTCCTAGTATTTTAAAGTTTTGTCTAATACCTCATTTCGGTTTATTGATACATAGAAAATAAGTATTTTAGTTCTTGGACATGACAGTATGTTTTTTTTTATTAGTAACGACACTTTAGTTAATTGCAGACCTCATATTTGAAACAATTTTAATGCCTCGACTGATACAATAGACAAGACTAGCTTTTTTTACAGTTTTAACATTGAGTATGAATTTTTAATGATATACTTAATTTTGATTTTTTAATCAAGGTAATTTAAACTTTGGCCATAATGGATACTACTTTAGTGTATGGAGTAGGATGTATAGCCTAACTAGGAATATAAAAATCCTGGCCTGAGGATTCCAATCAGCTTTATTACATCTGTGGGTTGTTTATATTTCTGGTCAGGTTATAATATTGTTCACTGTGATATTACATTTGGTACAGTCATAGTAACAGTAGGATTAGTTTTTGGATTCCCCTTTGTCCTTGTAATATCTTCAAGACTGTAATATAATTCTCGTATTTTTAATATACTCATTAGTTCTTCTTTATTAGTTTTAACTGATGTACATCACATTTCTTTTGCATTTAATATAAGTTTGAAGTTTTGTGTGTAATTTTAATGTAATTTTTCTCTTAATTTATAGATCTTAGTATTTTACGTTTTAAAATTCTTAAATGTGCCTTACAAATTAAATAATTTGTCGATTTGAAACATCAACCATTAATGTTTAGTCAACTATAAACTATAATTAGTTCTAAATTTTTCCTTTCGGTAATTGTTAATAATAACTGTGAATACATTATTTTTTTTAAATATCACAAAACATGTTAGTTGAAAAAATCATTATAAAGTTACAGTCACTAAATGTTGTGAAATTTGGATTTCAAAGACATTTTTCTCTTCTTTTCTTTGTTCATGCTATTCTTTATTCTTATTTTCTTACCACTTTACACTTTTCCTACTTGTATTTTCCTTGCATTTATTATTTAAGACTTTCTACTTAATAATTTTAGGGCTCAAATATTTCAGTACCTACCTATAGTAATGAAGGTAAAAAATTATTGTTCTGGGTATTGTAACGTTTTAACAATACACCTTAAAGTGTTTTGGTAGTTTTTTTTTACACATTTGGCCGTTGATGTTATAGTTTACTCTAAAAGTCAACTTATTTACATGAAATTCAATTTGATAACTCATACATTGTAAACTGAATCAAAAGCAATAGGGTGGTACTACATTAGGTGTTTAAAATCTTGCATTTTACTTTTTTTATTTAGAATTGGTATTGTGAATATAAAAAAAATGATCAATAAATCTTAATTCTTATATGAATAGCAACAATTTAATAACACAATTCCAATTCCGATATCAAAATGATACTCATCTAGCAATTCACAAATAAAAAAATCATTTATGCCACAGTACATGTAGTGTAGTGCCACCTTTATTACTAATATCGTTTTAATAGTGGAGAAACACTGTGTATGTTTTAAAATTGACTGATTTTATTAATTGAATTTACCGGAAGCCATAAATGGTATGTTTTATTTTTGTCTGTCGTTTTAATGATAAGTGTAAATATTGCGGCTTGAGGAATTAAGCTGATTTGTGTATGATATGAACTTTTGTGAGCATTCTAATTTAAGTGTTCTTTTACACACAAATTGTATAATTCGATTTTAATTTTCCGACGTTCGGCACCGTATAACGTTAATATACTTTTGGTTGAATTTAAAAGGATACAGTTTTGTTTTTTTGATGTATATTCTCGTTATATGGCGTCCACGTTCTATAATAATTAGTATTTATATAATTTAATACTTTGAACAAACGAATGCTCTCTTTTAATGATTTTAGAAAAAATAAAAATCTCCAAACAATGTTGTAGTTTTAATAAAAACAAACCTATTTCTTATTTTTTATTACAAATATACAAATCATATGTACAAGTATTAACAACATTAAAATTCATCAAGTTTGAATCACGTGAATTTACAAAATTAACAATATGTAAAAAAAAAAAAAGTTTATACAAACAAAAATTAAAGAAACAAGGAAAATAAATAATAATTAAATTTTTGTTAAAAGTAGCTTAGTAAAAATGTTCTCATTGCGACTAAATCCGGTGGTGCAATTCAATTTGATCTCTGCGCTCGCTCTATTCAAATTTCATCCGAATCCCATTATAAACTTTGGTATTTGATATGCCACTTGTGGTAATTGCATCAGCATTGATAATCTGAAAACATTAAATGTATTTTAACTTACTTCATTACTGCTGAACCCTGCACTGCGTGCGAATGGAATTTATCTAATAATTTGCTGAAATTAGAAAACCTCATAACGAATACTTTTACAGATTAAAAAATGTTTGAACAACATTTTTCATTAAAGTATATAAATGGTTCAACATAATATTGAAAAAAAAAACACCTGTAATGAAATTGAGATAGTCAAATAAATTATAGATGGAAAAAATGCCAGTTTCACAAAGTATTTTTAGTGCAAACGATTTTGAGACCTAACTTAGATCCACCACCATAGAAATAAAAGGAGAAAAAAAAACATATTATTTAATGATGTAGTATTTTTAGCTGGAGATCAAATTTGGATATTTTAGCAATATACTAAATGCCAATGCTGGGAAAACGAAGGCTGAAACTATCACTAAAATAAGTTATATTAGTTTGTAGCTTAATCTATGTTAGTGTTTTTTTTTTTTATTTCCTTATGTTAAAATGATGACTTATTGGTTACGTTCCAATACATACTTATTTACAAGTCGTTCATCCACCATATTTTATTCGCAGACCTAAAAGTAAGCCACCACCGTCTATATTTGCCGTACACTAGGACTATCTCTGTCAAAGAAAATCATTTTATTAAATTAAAACGTTGTTCTTAATTATTTCTTTTAGTTTCATGTTAATGAATATAAAAGCCAATTTTTAAGGGTCGGTGCATATTATGAAATATAAGTGCATTTGGGTACCAAGATAGCGTAAAAGCAATAAATACAGCAATGCTATTGTAAGTTTGTAAGGTGAAAGTGGTCGTTAGAAGCTTTTGTAACTTACGAAACAGACAGGCCATTGTATAGCCAGGCGCGCCACGTCTGCGGCGCGGGCGCGGTGCTGTCAATGCGCGCCTCTATGTGGCCACAGAGGGCGCGCCGGTCGTGGGAGCGGCCCGAGCGCGCGTCGCATACGAGACGCTTGCGGCACTCGCCGTCACATGATCCACGACGGGGACTGTTCTTCCAATAATGTCTATGAACAATACAATTATACCAAAGCTGTTATAGGTACGAAATTAACAGAAATGCAAAGCCCGAATAACGATAATACAGGAAAATCTAATTAGAAAAACATGTCGCTTACGTCTGTAATCAATAACTACTGGTTGAATATCGTAATTTTACATCCGACAAACGATATATAAAAAGGCTTTCACTTTAGAATGTTAATCCATGTAATCTTCACCACTTACTTGAAATACATATTAAAAACGTCTTCTTTGGATGTCATATCATCTATGAATTTATCCCAATCCTGTGGCCGTAACGATTGCATTTGATACGCGGACCGAGCCGAATACAACTTGTACCAGATCGGATAGCCAAAAAGATTAGCGTCTTTGAGATTCATAATCCATGTTTCGTGATCAACCACAAGCTACAAAGATAATGAAATTATAAAATCTTTCTTACTGATCATAAAATAAAAAGCTTTGTACAAAAACAATTGGATTACCCTCGTTGTAGCATCATGGTCTCCGTCCACGTAATAAATGCGATATCCTAAATTTAAATCATAATATGGCGATACCGAAGGTCCAACATAGGCTATACTCGTTGCTCTTCCTGAAATTAAAATTAATAATTTATTTAAAAAACAAATAACAACTCAATTAGACAACATATAAAAATGCTTTTAGGGGTTACATACCAAGATCGTTAGGATCATAAAACACTTCGAATTCATCAAAATGCGTATGACCGAAGAATTGAGCAGTGATTGTTGATTCGTATCGGTTTATGATAGCGTAGAAGTTCCGACTCCAGACTTTGAGGCAGTCGGAGTGTCCAGGCGGGATGTGTCCGATGATGTGCACCTTCTCTCCGCTGAACTCCGCAGACTGCAGCTCGTATATCAGCCACTGCAGTTCCGTAGCTGGATCTGTGCTGTTCAGTAATAACCACCTGAAAAACAAAAGGTAATGTTTACTTTGGACGGTAAAGAGCTCAAAGATTGTGTCGGTACGCAAGAGTAGCTCAGTTTTGGAATGTGTTTTGAAATGTGTATTCTTCTATCCGATGAGCAAGCGCATACCTAACATTTTGTCTTCGAAGTTCTAATACCACGTTCTAAATATTTTGATGCCATTCGCTAGAAAGTCGGAAGACGCAAAGCTTAAGTCTTAACAGGTCAGAAACACGTTTTCATTATTTAAGTTAACACAAATCGTGTATTAGTATAGTATCTTTACAAAATTTGGCAGTTTTTACTCTCTCCCGAAAAGTAGCTATTTTTGACATCCGTGGTGTTAGAACTTCAACGACGCTATGTTTTTGCAATCGTAAATAAGAGTACTTTACTGTGTACTGCCCCAATTCTAGAGCCTAACACTTAATGTATGTAATATTAACCAGTTCTTGTTGTTGCAATAGTTCATGTTGAGCGATATGATGCGGAACCCGGGGCGCACCAGCACTGAGTAGAAGGCGCCACGACGCACCGTGTGTGATACGCCGGCCGGCAGCCAACGCCGCCACTGCGCGTCCAACTCGTTGTATAGCCATGCGATATTAGACTCCGAGGACGAGATGTACGGCGGAGGAAAGCTAAACACATTATCAAATATTGAAAAAAATCTCTTTAAAACCAGCTCCTAGAATGGCTTTTGTATGTGGAATCTTTGTTTAGGGAGTGCATAAATAATCATAAAATGTCTCTGAATGTGGAATACATAAAGGGTTTTCAAATCTTTTTCTTGACTGGAATTTTTAAGCAGAATAACTACGATTATACAAAATACTTTGTTCACATCACATAGTTTCAGTCATTGACCCGTGAGCTCATTCCCTTCACTATTGTATAGTTTTTGCAATATTTAACCATATTAATAACTTGAATTAAAGATAATATCAGATCGGCATAAATTCCACGTAGTTACGTTTTAATTTGATTTTAATGTATGAGACGCTTTTAATAGTAGTTTGTTTTAGTATTTTTATTAAAGTATATACGCAAAGTAATTACTCTTTATAGTAATGTTTTTTTGTTTCGTATTCAATACAAGATTGTCTCAACAGATGTGAGGACTTATATGGTACAAGATAAATATTTGTTGCGTTTAGTAAGCAACTTGCAATGAGTAATAAATGCCTTTGTTTCTTATAACAATTGAATAAATTACAATCAGGATAGAAGATCTTTGTGAATTATTCCATTGATAAATATCTGCTCAAGTAGTAGAGTACTCGTAGTATTGGAAACGTAAAAAGAGTAGTGAATTTTGTTACCTATTTACCGGGGAAGATTCGTGATTGCCGAGAGCAGGGAATATAGGAACCCCTGGGAACATGTCCGACATCTGCACAACAGTTTCCTGAAGCACCTTCAAGTTCTCCTCTTTAGTCTGATTCCAAACGTCGTGCGGCGGCAAGTCTCCCGTCCATAGAATGTAATCTATGTCCTGAAATGATTACCAAAGATTTAGTAAGTAAAAAATGTCTATACGTTTATGTTACATTAGAACAAAGACAATAGTCACATGAAATGTTTTCGTAATTATAGGG